CTAATTGTTTAGAGAGCTAAATGACCGTGAAATTGAAAATCACTACAAAATGAATCCTGAAAATGTAGAAACTTGGTATGGTATCATCATATCACCCGCATAGCATGCGCGAAAGAGTAGAGAGGGTCACAGCAAAAACTGGACGCACTTCGTGTACAAACTGGACAAACTCTTTCGGAGTATCAGGGTTTCAGACGAGAACTCACTTGTGACATGGCCACTTCAATGTTTTTTAAACTTATTTGAACTCCGGACTTCTTTTGTGTTCAGTATGCAGCATTTAAAGCGACGTCATGAATTTCCAACATGTTCTGACATTATTTGTTGTTTTTCGGTCATTTACCTAATTGTTTAGAGAGCTAAATGACCGTGAAATTGAAAATCACTACAAAATGAATCCTGAAAATGTTGAAACTTGGCATGATATGCAGCATTCAATTTTCAGAAGAAAATAAATAATGCAGAAAATAAAAAAACTATACAAAAAAATTACTCAAAAATAAATAGAAGAAAATAAATAATGAAGAAAAGAAAAAACTATATAAAAAACTACTCAAAAATAAATAGAAGAAAATAAGTAATGCAGAAAAGAAAGGCCTGCTCTTAGTACCGGTTGGTGGTTCCAACCGGTACTAAAGGGTGGTCTTTAGTACCGGTTGGAGCCACCAACCGGTACTAAAGGCCTACTCTTCCCGCCTCTTTGCCTGGCCAAAGTAGGCCTTTAGTACCGGTTGGTGGCTTCAACCGGTACTAAAGGCTCACCCTATATATACAGCACTTACGAAATTTCAGTTACATCTCCCCACTTCTTTCGTCAACCTCTCGCGCGCCGCTCCCGTCGTCGCCGCCCGTCGCCCGTCGTCGTCATCGTCGTCCCCGCCGCTGCCCCGAACACCGCGCGCCGCCGTCCGTCGTCGTCCCGCGCCGCGGTCCCGTCGTCATCCCGCGCCGCCGTCCGCACGTATCTCGCTCTCTCCTTGCGCGTACCCGGCCGCCGCGCCATGCGCCGTCCGCCCCGAACGCCGCGCGCCGCCGTCCGTCCCCGCCGGCGCCCCGAACGCCGGCGCCCCCGCCCCGTACGCCGCCGCCCCCGCCCCGTACGCCGGCGCCCCCGCTCGTACGTACGGGACGGCGGCGTACGGGGCCGCACACACACACACACACATATACCACACACGTATACACACACATACACACATACGTACACACATATACGTATACACACACACATTTTTTTTTACTTATTTTCTGTTTTTTAGAAAAGTTAATTAGATGATCGAATGTTAGATTAATGTCGAATGTTAGATGAATTAGCTAGCTAGATAGAAAAATTGTCGTACTAGAGATTAGAACTAGTTGAATAATTAATATAACTAGTTTATTTTTAGTAAGAAAATTTAGGTATATGAGATTTGAACTAGTTGAATAATTAATATAACTAGTTTATTTTTAGTAAGAAAATTTAGGTATATGAGATTTGAACTAGTTCAATAATTAATATAACTAGTTTATTTTTAGTAAGAAAATTTAGGTATATGAGATTAGAACTAGTTGAATAATTAATATAACTAATTTATTTTTAGTAAGAAAATTTAGGTATATGAGATTTGAACTAGTTCAATAATTAATATAACTAGTTTATTTTTAGTAAGAAAATTTAGGTATATGAGATTTGAACTAGTTTAATAATTAATATAACTAGTTTATTTTTAGTAAAAAAATTTAGGTATATGAGATTTGAACTAGTTTAATAATTAATATAACTAGTTTATTTTTAGTAAGAAAATTTAGGTATATGAGATTTGAACTAGTTGAAATTATGTGCGAACACTGTGAAGACCTGCGCGGCCTGTGCGACCAAAATTTCCTTGTTGATGGTAGGCGCTTCAGCATCAAGCTGGATGAGACATTCGAAGTTGATACAATAAGTCACTTTGTCAATTATTATTTGAATGCAAAACTTATGCTTTATTTGCTTCAACTTATAATTTTAAATTTTCACTATTCTACTAGCGCATCCCCTGCCATGCAAGAATTTTTGTCTTGGATAAGATAGGTTTTAGTGCTATAGATGATATGGAGGTAAAGAGAGTTTACTTGAAGACGGAGCATGGGTATACTTTCAACGTCAAATTATATAATGGAGACACATGCACCCATTTTGAATGCAAAACTTGGCAAGAACTATGCAAGGCTTATGCATTTGAGCCTGATATGGTTATCACCTTTGATATTCGTCCGGAAGATGATATTGAAGGTAATATAGACATCTGGGTCGATGTGCAAACGCCTCCAGTTCTACCATTTGGTGAGTTTTTCTCAACCATGCATGCATATGTTTATGTCTTTGATACAGTTTATTCAAAAATAGTTGACAACTAATTTGTATTGTCAGCTTATTTCGGTTCAAGCAAACATGTCCGGCGCTTAGTAGACAGGACCTACTACTGCCCCGGGGCTCTAATAAACTGCGAGGAGATAAGTCATTATGTTTCATGGCTTGAGGATCTTAATACTGTCAAGACAATTTTTTTTTCCTAAACTTAGAAATGTTAGTACTCAAAACGTGCGACCAATGGTGATCGTATTGAACTACGGTCACATCTATAATCGAAAGATGGTAAGATTTTAAATATTTGTCCTTAATTAGTGCATCTTTTGCATACATTATTTTTGAAGCTAAACTTTCATTGCTTAGTATATTAATTACTATACGATGTTCTTCAACAGGGACTTCCGATGACAGTTGTGCCTCAGTGGATCGAGACAAAAGGTCACATGTCAATGGTTAGCTTACAACCAAGATTTCCTACATTGCACATGAGTGCATTCAGGATTTCTGAAAGCGAAGAATGCTTAATAGTGAAAGATTGGAGCAAAATTGTTAACGATCGCAGAGAAGTACTAGGGGGCAGCAAGGAGAAGCGCAACCCAAGATTAGGAGACAGATTCATCTGCATGCTCCAGTATGATGAATCAGGAGAGCTATACATGTTCTATGCTATTCTATCTGAGAGGGAGCAGCAGGATTAGTAGCTACTAATTCATGCTCTTAATTAGTACTTGTCTCATGTCCGTGTCCTGAACTTCGATGTTGGTGATGATTATGTTGAACTTGATGATATCTTTACTTCTGTTACAAAGTGAATGTTTCCTCTTTAAGCTAGCCAGCGTTGATGATGATTAGATAGCTAGCGGTAATGACTATGATGATTAAATAGTGGTAATTAGACGACTATGATGATTTTTAGCTAGCTAGAGTTTATTTATTTATTAATATGAGATGATGATGATGATGACGACTACAACTCATTATAACGTAAAACAATCCTAAATTAAATTGATAACACAAATTTAATTGAAAAATACAAAATAAAACAAAAACCCACAACCATTTAGTACCGGTTGGTGTTACCAACCGGTACTAAAGGGCTCCCGGCCCCCGGAGCTGGCTCGTGCCACGTGGTTCCCCTTTAGCACCGGTTCGTGCTGAACCGGTACTAAAGGGGGGGGGGGCTTTAGTGCCGAAACTTTAGTGCCGGTTCCTAAACCGGCACTAAAGGGCCTTACGAACCGGTGCTATTGCCCGGTTCTGCACTAGTGTATGCCACGTTTGATCCGCCCCACGCTGGCCCACCCGGCCCCACATATATTCCTTCCTATCCGCTCGTCGGACCAAACTCTAGCCACTTCACTCCACTCCCTTCTACCACCAAGCTCGTCTTCGGCGCCATTCGTCCATCTTCGGCATGGCGGGCAGCGGATTCACGTCCTTCACCTCCAGATCCGTCGACCCCGAACTCATCCCACACGGCCCCGAGGAGGAGATTGCCGTCCCTCTTGCGCTTTGCCGCTCTCGAGAGGAGGCCCATGCACGACAGCGCTCGGACTCCTTCAGTCGGGAATCTATTGCGTCTGCCCAAATGGTGCATGGATCCGACGCTAGGGTATGCTGCCTCAACGGAGGCGGTGCGGTTCGTCTGGCGTCCTAACACGGTGGCGGACGCGCAACCCCTCCGTTGGTGCGCCGAGGTCATGGGCGCGCCGTGGGCATCGTCTGACGCAACCATGGTGCGGCGTGCCCGCCATGTGAGGCAGCGGGCGCGGGAGGTGGCGGCAGCGCTCGCGGCAGTGGACGTCGGCGAGACGGAGTTGCATTCTCCGGCGCCCCATATGGTGCACCACTCCGGGCGCCACAACCGCATTGTGGTGGATGTCACCGGCTCGTCCCATGATGGATCCATCGTCAATCTGACGTCCACCGGCACCCAACGGGTTCCGGGCTCCGACGAGAAAGATTAGGGCATGGAAGACGGCGGCGCCTTGAGTCCCGTGAGCCGGCTCGTATCCCATGCCCTACTCTACCCTGCCGGTGACCGGACCAAAACTCTAGGGAGCGTAGCCGGTCATTGGGCATGGCCACGGCAACCGGACGAGCTCTGCCTAAAGATCGCTACGTTGCATGTAATAATATAAATTTGAGGTTTCTAATTCAAGGTATCCGGATGTGGATTGCATTATTTGAGATGTGATCGGTTAGTGTCCGCGGACGCGTCCGGACGCGTTTGCGGGCGTTTGGAGGGCCAGATTTGCACATCGTGGCTGTAGATGCTCTAATAACAACAAATATGCTGCACGTACATTGTGAGTGCGGAAATGATTGTACCACCATGAGCAACAAAAGGCTCAAATATATGGGGGCAATAAACTTAGGTGGGATGTTTCTTTTTTCTCTGAAAGCATCACGCTGAGGCCTTGTTCGTTTGCCGGGGTGGGGTTCAAAGCCCACGGTTTGGCGGGGATAGCCCTGCCCGGGAATTTATCCTCATCTGCTTCATATAATGCATTCGGTTACATCTCGAATAGATCGGAGATGGATGTAATTTTTAATTGCTTCTTACGTTCTTTTTACTCTCTTGATGTTTGATGAACAAATTGAAAGTTTTTCCTGCAAAAAAAAAAACCCATCCAATTCTCTCCCAGCCCTGTGTTTTTTGCCGGGGACAAAACATCTCCTCCCAATGTGTGGAATTAATCCCAGACCATTACAACCTCTCGACCCCTCTCTACGCGACCTCTGTCTCCCGTGATTATGGAGGCGGCACTGTCGATGTGAGGATCCAGAAGGGCAAAGATTGTCAACATGTTTGGTAATTGTATACATGGTATAAATTGCAAGTTTAACACAATTATAAGACTAGCCACAGTGGGAGTAACTTCAGCAGTAACATCAAGTCCAACTCAGCAAATTTGCTTATGTGGCAATGAGTTAATGAAGAGAGAGATAGTTGTAGTAACTTAGGTAGTTACTGTAACATCACATATCCCAATGCAATATGAGTCTATAACCTAATAAATGAATCTTTGCATGTTACCACACTTAAGTTACCACCCACTATGAAGATAGTAACATAGTCTAGGGATATGTGTATGTTACTAGTGTATGTTACTATCCACTGTGGCTAGTCTAAGTGTGGAGCATAATCACAACTTTTACAAAGATAAAGACCATTTTATTATGCAATGAAACCAATCACACAACTTAGAACAATGAAATTTATAATCCTTTAGGTAACAATGACCACTGACGCTGATGTAAAAAAAAGGTGACGATTGACGACTGCAAAACCTCCAACAAAAGTGGCGACTGAAAACTGAATTAAGAAGCTTCTCCCAGCTAGCCACTAATTACTTGGCAGCCGGGGCAGCAGCAGCAGCCCACATGGCCCGCAGCTTCTCGGCCTCCTCCAACATGCTTTCCATGGGCGGCGCCGCCTTCTTTGCAGCCTCCGTCTGCTCGAACCTCTCAGCCCAGGCGGCCAGGCGTGGAGTCCTGCCAGCGTCGATGACCGTGACGCCGAACATGTGGCGCAGCGCCTCGATCCAGAAGAGGTTGCACCCGAGCGCAAGGTCGAGGTACCCGATGGAGTCGCCGGCGAAGAAGGCCTTCCCGCCAGAGCACTGGGCGAAGGCGTCCTCCAAGGGCGCGACCGCCGCGAGCGCAGCGGCCAGCCCCTCCGCCCTGTCCTCCTCCGTGGCCGCCCTCATGATGCCTATCCACGTGGGGACAGCCTTGTCATCGATGTAGGCCGCCCAGAAGCGGGCGACGGCGCGGTCGTAGGGGTCCGCGGGGAGGAGCGAGGCGGCGCCGGCCCAGACCTCGTCGACGTACTCGACGATGGCGAGCGACTCGCAGATGGGCCTGCCGGCGTGGATGAGCACGGGGACCGCCTTGCGCACCGGGTTGGAGGCGAGGAGGAGCTCGCCCTTGTGGAACAGGTCCTGCTCCAGGTACTCGTAGCTCACGCCCTTGACGTGCAGCGCCATGCGCACGCGGATCGCGAACATGCTCGCCGCCGTGCCCAGTACCTTGACATCATCTCCTTGGCCGGCCATCGTTTCCGATCTTCCTCTTCGATCGATCTTTTCCTTGGCTTGTAAACTATTTGCTCTGCTGTGTACGTATGTGCGCTTAAGTTTTGCTCAATTTGCAAGTGTACGTACATAGCTTGGTTCTTGTTGTTTATATAGCGCAAATCAAGCGGGGCAGCTGTTGGTGGAGAAGCTGCTAGAGCCATGGGAATTGTGTTGGGTCTGTATATGTGCATCACCCCATACGTACGCAGAATGCTTGCACCCCAAAGTAAGGTTGACTAGCTTGGCGTCACACGCGACGCTTCAGTGTTAGACGATGTTTCCGCGCGCGGCATGCCCTGCAAATGCTTCTTCTCTCTCAGTGTCTGCTTTCTGTAGCGATGAGACTCGGCCCACTCATCCTGGGAACACTTCCAAAAGGCTGATTATTTTATGGTGCCTGCAAATTTTCTTTTCCCTCAGTCGATTTCTGCATTGCACGAGGCGACGGTGGTGTTGACATGCGGACCGGCAATGAGCTCCGTTTGTAGAAGATTGAGTGGTTAATCTGATGCGAAATATACGATGCATGTTCGTTATAATATGCACGTCCGGATTTCATATAAACATGACATATTTTATTACACTAAAACAATATCCATGCGTTGCAATGGAATATAAATATTCTAGTACGTTAGCTTGTGATTTATCTGTCAATAATAATGTGATCCTGTAAATAAATGTTCATCAAATTGTGACAGTGAATTAACATATATTTAGATTAGAAGTTTGGTAAAATTAAAGTGAAATTAGTTGAGAAAGTAAGTAAATTAAAATGGAATTGATTCAGAAGGTAAGTAAACTAAGGTGATTGATTATCATATAAATGGAAGGTTAGGCGAAGGGATGGTGGGAAGAAAGGTGAAATAGGAACCTTACTTTTTCTTAAGTAAGTATAGTATAGAGATTTACATCAACTATGGTGCTAGTCCGGCTCTAGAGTCTGACCATGAACCTAGAGAACAGAAACTTCCTTCTCTAGCTCCACCTCGACGCTCTTCGGCTCAGCCTCCAAAGGCCCAGGAAGTGAAGTTGTCTGGCTCCACGACACTGCCAAGCGACTAATCGGCCGACAATTAATGCTCAGCCCACCAAGCTTGACGTTGATGGGAGGGGAGGAGCAGTGGCCTATCCGGGACCAGGCACCGGCGATCTACCGTGCACCATTCTTCCTCCCTGCTGGCGGCGCCCGCGAACGTGACTGCACCATTCTTCCTCCCTGCTGGCGGCGCCCGCGAACGTGACTGCTTCATGGTCGTCGTGGCGGGGCGCGGACTCGGCGATTTCCTCCTCCTCCTCCTCCTCGCCGGTCCCGCCGAACACCTCCTCGCTCACCTCATCATCGCACTCTTTGCCGGCGGCCGCCACCTCCGACACTCGCAGGCGGTACCGCCAGCAGGCGAGGCGGATCTCGCGGGGGGAGCGGTAGGACCCGAGCAGCGCCTCCTGCTCCGTCATGTCCACGTCCGGCACGACCGCTCTACCGGCGCTGAGCTGCTCCTCCGCCTGCAGATGCTCCTAGAGGAGGTCGTGGTTGTAGGCGGCGTCAGCCTATGCCTCCCAGAACTGCTCCTCCCGCACGATATGCATGTAATGGGCATGGGCCTCGCCGATGGTCATGGTGCAATGCACCAGCGAGGGTGACACAGAGGAGGAGGGTGGCGCCGGTTCGTCATCAATAGCGTCCTCCATTGGGACGTCGTCCTCCGGCTGCCTGCCGGCCAGCCAACCAGCAGCAATGGCGGCCATCTCCTTCTTCTGGTCCGACGTCAGCCCGTCCCAAAGAGTTTTGGCGGGGGAGGGATCCATGGTGAGAGTGGTGCAGAGAGGGACCGGAGGTGGATGACTGCGGCTATGGCCGGGGCACCAGTTTTTATAGCAATGGTGGGTGGAAGTGGGACGGATGGGTGGCGTCGGAGAAGATGCCTCGGCAACCGCGTGCCGTCAATGTGGGTGGCAGGCGGACGGGCAGCTGTCGTGTCGTTTGAACGCACGGTAGTCGCCTGCGCCGAGAAGTGACGCGGGCGGCGCTCTCTCGATTGGCGCACCACTTCATTGCCGTTGCTAGTGAGTGGTCGTGTCTGCTCTAGCCGGGCATGAATGCGAGCGTTGACGCTCTGGAGCGGCGCTGACCGAAAACGCGCGGTAGGAGACTGGGTTTTTGGTGGGTAAGGGCGGTCAGAAGCGGGCGTGAGATCGGTCTGGACTCCTACAAACCCCTTACTTTTGTCTCTGGTTTGCGGAAGAAATTATGTCTGAACTACCCAGTGGACCGGTATAAACCCACGTTGGATGGTTTCTACTGTTCGGACAACGTGATTCAGAAGCACGCGGGAGGTTTGCCCGTCAGCGTTGGAGATGCTACTAGGTAACAGCAAATACATCAAGACATGTTTTTAGATGAAAAGCTGTAGCCCAGTCCTCCTGCCCGCTGTAGTCCTTTCCTCTTTGCTCTGAAAACTAGCCACTTGACTTCTTCCTTGAATTTTCTCCCGCAAGCATATAGACTTGGGCTAATATGTTTAACAGGCCCTATGTTTAAGTATGAAATCACTCCTTGTGTTCCATAGAGCCCAGGTCACCAAGATGATGATCTCCAAAGAGAAACGTAAATTGATTAGTTGCTTCAGATAATCAATCTCTTTTTATAGACCTAAGCCAGTATATGTCCAAGAGCGAGAGATGTAGCTGCAGCCTGCAGTACATTTTGATAAATGTGCAGCGAAAGAAGAGGTGATCTCTTGTTTCAAGAGTCTGCATGCTGCATAAGATACAAGTGTAATCTTGTATGAAGAAAAAAAATCGCAGTAGAAGAGCCCTAGTATTTAACCTGTCATGTGCCAAGAGCCAAAAGAAAATCTTGTATTTAAGTTGGCAGCATGTTTTCCATAACCACCTGACCACTAGGAGAACTGCAGTCGTAGGAGTAAGAAACCTATAAACCTTGGAGACCATGTAGTGAGCAGAACCCATAGGTATTTGCCGTTGATCTTCCTCTGAAGTGAGTTGGAGGTCTTGAATAAAATTCTCCAATTCTTGAAATTGCGCATATGCGTCCTCAGACAGAATCACAGACGCGGTTGGAAGAGAGCTGTTAAATCATCTTTTGAAACAGTTCAGCAATGGAAAATTTTTCCTTGAGAGCAAAAGAATGAAGATGTGGCCATATCTCACTCTTGGAGACACCATCCCAAGTGTCAGACCAGAAATCCAAGGTCTGACCATTGTGCAATATGACAAATGCGTGCTCTTTATAAATTGCGAATAGTTTCATGCAGTCCATCCACCAAAAAAGGATGACACGGGCCATGGCTATCTTTGCTCTCTTTCATCGTGTCTTTATCGTTAGCTAGCTCCCCCGACGGTTAGACCCAACACCTTCGCGCCAACACTATTGCGACTATTTTATTTCTTGTTAGTTTTTTCTCATAATGCTTTCTATTCATTGATGCTATATTTTAAGATAATAAAGCGTCCTTTATCAAAAAAAATCGTAGAGGCTCTTTAAGTTTTGATGGAAATAATTATGTGATGATGCCAAACTTTCTTAATGTTGGGATAAGTTCATAATTTTTGTTGGAAAGGTTAGGGTATCTCCAATGGTCCGGACCGCGTGGTCCATCCGCTTGGCCGTCTAGACGTCATTTTTCTCGTAAACCAGAAGGAAACAAGGGGGAGGGGCTTTGTAGGCCTCCGGTCCGACAACTCTGGCACACCAAAACCCTCTCCCTCACCCGCGCCCTTTCCCGTCCGAAGAGGTCAGCCAGCATTCATGCTGCTCCAGAGCAGACGTGACCTCTAACTGGCAATGGCATTGAAGTGGGCTCGCTGGCCTAGGGCGCCGCCCATGTCACGTCCCTGGTATCCTTGCCTGTTCAATATCGGAGAGACGCTACTAGACAAAACGAGACGAATATCTACCTCGTCTGTTCAATGTCCGTTTGTCCGTCTGCCGCCATTAAACAGACACCTCGACCGAGAAACGAACTCCGGTGCCCTCGCATTAACACACCCGGGCACTTGGCATCGCTGGCATGCGCTTCTAAAGGCAGCCACTCCCGGCTCAAAGCAACGCACACCAAGTCCGATCTACATCCTCCTCCCGTGCAACACATCTGCCATGAGCGCGAGCAGGAACACATTGTGGGAGAGCCTCTCAGCGGAGCAGAACCTCGAGGTGGCCGCCCTTGCGGCTGCTGGGTGGGCCGTCATGCTAGGCGAGCAGAGGATGACATCCAAGGCAGCTCGCCAGAGGTCTGCGACGATGACGACCCCATGATGGAGACAGACTTGGACGACAACTCGACGTCGTTGCCCGCACCGTTCCATGATGGCTTTATCATGGAGCAGGGACATGCACACTTCAATGCCGCCATGGCGGAGGAGCAACCCGCGCCGGTGCCTAGGTTGGCATTTCGGCAAGCGCAAGAGGAGCAATGTTACACATGTTCCTTCTCAAGAAGCATCGGCTGGCAGAGGGCCAAATCTACGGCGAGCACGCAAGCGACGAAGGCCTGGTGGCCATGGTCGTAGCAAACCCCACATTTGTCTTTGAGCAGCGGGCGCTCTACAAGGCCGTGCACGCTCAGTCCGATGAGGAGGCGGCGCAGGCGATCGCGGACGAGAATGCCGCCAGTTGCTGTCCAACGCTTCGCCACTGAACTTTTGTGGGCTTCGGTTGGACGGCGAGCGTGTCGGCCCATCCACTCCATCATGGACCTCACGTCCACCAACAACAGACAAATCACGGATTCCGACGAGGATGAGTAGGGCATGGGCGGCAGCATGCCCTTGAGTCCCAAATGGGCCGGTCCATCTCTCATGTACTCTTCCTCGCTGGCGACCAGACCTTCACTTCACGGGTCTCATCCCCGCCGCTCATAAAGATGACGAGATGAACTTGGTGATCGCCATAAGGGAACAGCAAGGATGGGACATGGAGGACGGTGCCACTAGAGGCTAGGTTTAGGTCCAGTCCCTTTTTAATGAAAAATGTCGAAATTTTAATGAATATGCTCCGGTTTAGATGAAAATCATCCGGTTGCATGAATTTTGTCCGGTTTGTTGACATCCGCTTTGAAATGTATGCGGCTAGCTTTGGATGGCCAGCTCCTATACCAGTGTCAGTAGACTAGTCCGCACTGATCTGCGGATGGACACGGCATTTGGTTTAGGGGGTCAGCTTTCGAGATGCCCTTAATAGGGTTTGTTATAAAGAGATATTGAGTAATTAGGAATCATAAGATACAAAAACATGTGAAGACTTGCGACGGGGGTGAGGAGGGGGAGGGGGGGCACTCA